GGTGACACTACCTTGTTGCAGTGGTGACACTACCTTGTTGCAGTTTGGTGACACTACCTGTTGCAGTGGTGACACTACCTTGTTGCAGTGGTGACACTACCTTGTTGCAGTGGTGACACTACCTTGTTGCAGTGGTGACACTACCTTGTTGCAGTGGTGACACTACCTTGTTGCAGTGGTGACACTACCTTGTTGCAGTGGTGACACTACCTTGTTGCAGTGGTGACACTACCTTGTTGCAGTGGTGACACTACCTTGTTGCAGTGTGTGACACTACCTTGTTGCAGTGGTGACACTACCTTGTTGCAGTGGTGACACTACCTTGTTGCAGTGGTGACACTACCTTGTTGCAGTGTGACACTACCTTGTTGCAGTGGTGACACTACCTTGTTGCAGTGGTGACACTGCCTTGTTGCAGTGGTGACACTACCTTGTTGCAGTGGTGACACTACCTTGTTGCAGTGGTGACACTACCTTGTTGCAGTGGTGACACTACCTTGTTCCAGTGGTGACACTACCTTGTTGCAGTGGTGACACTACCTTGTTGCAGTGGTGACACTACTTTGTTCCAGTGGTGACACTACCTTGTTGCAGTGGTGACACTACCTTGTTGCAGTGGTGACACTACCTTGTTGCAGTGGTGACACTACCTTGTTGCAGTGGTGACACTACCTTGTTGCAGTGGTGACACTACCTTGTTGCAGTGGTGACACTACCTTGTTGCAGTGGTGACACTACCTTGTTGCAGTGGTGACACTACCTTGTTGCAGTGGTGACACTACCTTGTTGCAGTGGTGACATACCTTGTTGCAGTGGTGACACTACCTTGTTGCAGTGGTGACACTACCTTGTTGCAGTGGTGACACTACCTTGTTGCAGTGGTGACACTACCTTGTTGCAGTGGTGACACTACTTTGTTCCAGTGGTGACACTACCTTGTTGCAGTGGTGACACTACTTTGTTGCAGTGGTGACACTACCTTGTTGCAGTGGTGACACTACTTTGTTCCAGTGGTGACACTACCTTGTTGCAGTGGTGACACTACTTTGTTGCAGTGGTGACACTACCTTGTTGCAGTGGTGACACTACTTTGTTCCAGTGGTGACACTACCTTGTTGCAGTGGTGACACTACTTTGTTCCAGTGGTGACACTACCTTGTTGCAGTGGTGACACTACTTTGTTCCAGTGGTGACACTACCTTGTTGCAGTGGTGACACTACCTTGTTGCAGTGGTGACACTACCTTGTTGCAGTGGTGACACTACCTTGTTGCAGTGGTGACACTACCTTGTTGCAGTGGTGACACTACCTTGTTGCAGTGGTGACACTACCTTGTTGCAGTGGTGACACTACCTTGTTGCAGTGGTGACACTACCTTGTTGCAGTGGTGACACTACCTTGTTGCAGTGGTGACACTACTTTGTTGCAGTGGTGACACTACTTTGTTCAGTGGTGACACTACCTTGTTGCAGTGGTGACACTACCTTGTTGCAGTGGTGACACTACCTTGTTGCAGTGGTGACACTACCTTGTTGCAGTGGTGAACTACCTTGTTGCAGTGGTGACACTACCTTGTTGCAGTGGTGACACTACCTTGTTGCAGTGGTGACACTACCTTGTTGCAGTGGTGAACACTACCTTGTTGCAGTGGTGACACTACCTTGTTGCAGTGGTGACACTACCTTGTTGCAGTGGTGACACTACCTTGTTGCAGTGGTGACACTACTTTGTTCCAGTGGTGACACTACCTTGTTGCAGTGGTGACATACCTTGTTGCAGTGGTGACACTACTTTGTTGCAGTGGTGACACTACCTTGTTGCAGTGGTGACACTACCTTGTTGCAGTGGTGACACTACCTTGTTGCAGTGGTGACACTACCTTGTTGCAGTGGTGACACTACCTTGTTGCAGTGGTGACACTACCTTGTTGCAGTGGTGACACTACCTTGTTGCAGTGGTGACACTACCTTGTTGCAGTGGTGACACTACCTTGTTGCAGTGGTGACACTACCTTGTTGCAGTGGTGACACTACCTTGTTGCAGTGGTGACACTACCTTGTTGCAGTGGTGACACTACCTTGTTGCAGTGGTGACACTACCTTGTTGCAGTGGTGACACTACCTTGTTGCAGTGGTGACACTACCTTGTTGCAGTGGTGACACTACCTTGTTCCAGTGGTGACACTACCTTGTTGCAGTGGTGACACTACCTTGTTGCAGTGGTGACACTACTTTGTTGCAGTGGTGACACTACCTTGTTGCAGTGGTGACACTACCTTGTTGCAGTGGTTGACACTACCTTGTTGCAGTGGTGACATTACCTTGTTGCAGTGGTGACACTACCTTGTTGCAGTGGTGACACTACCTTGTTGCAGTGGTGACACTACCTTGTTGCAGTGGTGACACTACCTTGTTGCAGTGGTGACACTACCTTGTTGCAGTGGTGACACTACCTTGTTGCAGTGGTGACACTACCTTGTTGCAGTGGTGACACTACCTTGTTGCAGTGGTGACACTACCTTGTTGCAGTGGTGACACTACCTTGTTGCAGTGGTGACACTACCTTGTTGCAGTGGTGACACTACTTTGTTCCAGTGGTGACACTACCTTGTTGCAGTGGTGACACTACCTTGTTGCAGTGGTGACACTACCTTGTTGCAGTGGTGACACTACTTTGTTCCAGTGGTGACACTACCTTGTTGCAGTGGTGACACTACCTTGTTCCAGTGGTGACACTACTTTGTTCCAGTGGTGACACTACCTTGTTGCAGTGGTGACACTACCTTGTTCCAGTGGTGACACTACTTTGTTCCAGTGGTGACACTACCTTGTTGCAGTGGTGACACTACCTTGTTCCAGTGGTGACACTACTTTGTTCCAGTGGTGACACTACCTTGTTGCAGTGGTGACACTACCTTGTTGCAGTGGTGACACTACTTTGTTCCAGTGGTGACACTACCTTGTTGCAGTGGTGACACTACTTTGTTCCAGTGGTGACACTACCTTGTTGCAGTGGTGACACTACCTTGTTGCAGTGGTGACACTACCTTGTTGCAGTGGTGACACTACCTTGTTGCAGTGGTGACACTACCTTGTTGCAGTGGTGACACTACTTTGTTCCAGTGGTGACACTACCTTGTTGCAGTGGTGACACTACCTTGTTGCAGTGGTGACACTACCTTGTTGCAGTGGTGACACTACCTTGTTGCAGTGGTGACACTACCTTGTTGCAGTGGTGACACTACCTTGTTCCAGTGGTGACACTACCTTGTTGCAGTGGTGACACTACCTTGTTGCAGTGGTGACACTACCTTGTTGCAGTGGTGACACTACCTTGTTGCAGTGGTGACACTACCTTGTTCCAGTGGTGACACTACCTTGTTGCAGTGGTGACACTACCTTGTTGCAGTGGTGACACTACCTTGTTGCAGTGGTGACACTACCTTGTTGCAGTGGTGACACTACCTTGTTCCAGTGGTGACACTACCTTGTTGCAGTGGTGACACTACCTTGTTGCAGTGGTGACACTACCTTGTTCCAGTGGTGACACTACCTTGTTGCAGTGGTGACACTACCTTGTTGCAGTGGTGACACTACCTTGTTGCAGTGGTGACACTACCTTGTTGCAGTGGTGACACTACCTTGTTCCAGTGGTGACACTACCTTGTTGCAGTGGTGACACTACCTTGTTGCAGTGGTGACACTACCTTGTTGCAGTGGTGACACTACCTTGTTGCAGTGGTGACACTACCTTGTTCCAGTGGTGACACTACCTTGTTGCAGTGGTGACACTACCTTGTTGCAGTGGTGACACTACCTTGTTGCAGTGGTGACACTACCTTGTTGCAGTGGTGACACTACCTTGTTGCAGTGGTGACACTACCTTGTTGCAGTGGTGACACTACCTTGTTGCAGTGGTGACACTACCTTGTTGCAGTGGTGACATTACCTTGTTGCAGTGGTGACACTACCTTGTTGCAGTGGTGACACTACCTTGTTGCAGTGGTGACATTACCTTGTTGCAGTGGTGACACTACCTTGTTGCAGTGGTGACACTACCTTGTTGCAGTGGTGACACTACCTTGTTCCAGTGGTGACACTACCTTGTTGCAGTGGTGACACTACCTTGTTCCAGTGGTGACACTACCTTGTTGCAGTGGTGACACTACCTTGTTGCAGTGGTGACACTACCTTGTTGCAGTGGTGACACTACATTGTTCCAGTGGTGACACTACCTTGTTGCAGTGGTGACACTACCTTGTTGCAGTGGTGACACTACCTTGTTGCAGTGGGTGACACTACCTTGTTGCAGTGGTGACACTACCTTGTTGCAGTGGTGACACTACCTTGTTGCAGTGGTGACACTACCTTGTTGCAGTGGTGACACTACCTTGTTGCAGTGGTGACATTACCTTGTTGCAGTGGTGACACTACCTTGTTGCAGTGGTGACACTACCTTGTTGCAGTGGTGACATTACCTTGTTGCAGTGGTGACACTACCTTGTTGCAGTGGTGACACTACCTTGTTGCAGTGGTGACACTACCTTGTTGCAGTGGTGACACTACCTTGTTGCAGTGGTGACACTACCTTGTTACAGTGGTGACACTACCTTGTTCCAGTGGTGACACTACCTTGTTGCAGTGGTGACACTACCTTGTTACAGTGGTGACACTACCTTGTTACAGTGGTGACACTACCTTGTTCCAGTGGTGACACTACCTTGTTCCAGTGGTGATTCTACCTTGTTGCAGTGGTGACACTACTTTGTTCCAGTGGTGACACTACCTTGTTGCAGTGGTGACACTACCTTGTTGCAGTGGTGACAACCCTGGTGATGGCGCTGCAACACCCCCAGGTGTTGGTCATCTGGCTAACATCTGCCACACTCAAAGCAAGATTCAAAACAATGAGTTTCACCTTCTTTCTTTGATTCTTTGAGTTGCAAAACTGCCACTTTTTATCAGTCATGTTTACTAAGAATGTTTCTTGCAATATTGCAGGCGGAGCACATCGTTGAGCACACCAAGGGTGAGAAGAGACTGACGGGGAAGTCCCATGATTATGTCAGCATCTAAGACCCTTCCTTCCCCTGCTCTCCAACACCTCCATTGTCCTTCAATACCCCACAACCTTACCCCCTTATACTCAACCCTTCCCTACCTTGAGCACTGCCTCCATCCCCTTATACTCCGCCCTTCCCTACCTTGAGCACTGCCTCCATCCCCTTATACTCCACCCTTCCCTACCTTGAGCACTGCCTCCATCCCCTTATACTCCGCCCTTCCCTACCTTGAGCACTGCCTCCATCCCCTTATACTCCACCCTTCCCTACCTTGAGCACTATCCCCTTGCCCCTTATACTCCACCCTTCCCTCCCTTGAGCACTGCCTCCGTCCCTTACCACCTCCCTTCCCTTGGTAATTCTTAAACGTGACTTGAACCTCGAAAGATGGTTGGTTGTGATCGGCACGGAGGATGGCACTACCAAAGATGAACCGCCTGATAACCTCAACAGGGGTAACTAGCGTTGCCTGATAATGTTAACCACTGGACAGGGATGACTGTTAACTTAATATTGTGTTGATTTTGTTCGGCTTTCATTCGCCTGATGTATAATTTACGATTTATTAATTACTGTGTGGGGAACTATTGGTGATCAAATCCTTCCTTACCGTGTGTGGCAGCGACGTAGATCTACATGCTGGACACTCTCCCTTTGGAAACGTTAGTTACCATGATAATAATGTATGTATTTTGTGTCTATAACAGCTTATTTGTGAGGGGTAGGTCAGTAGCCTCGTATTATTATTTTTTTTATTATAAAGGGGGAAGCGAAACCCCGTAGGTTTTATACGACTTGGGGTAGTTATACACTGAGAGGTTTTAAATCACTTTTTGTATTTGCCCTGAGGGTGACACCCTTTTGTTACATATATACTGAGGGTTGTGTCTCTTTATATGCGTGCGAGGTGTTTTTTCTCTCCGTATATACGTTAGATTTTATTTAACCACTATTTAGGGGGTTTAAAAGTATTTCGGCTGATGTTCCAGTTTGCCCCCAAAAACGGTGTTATTGGGGTTGTCGGGGTGGGAAAACTCTGACCTCCTGTGTGTTGTCAGGGGTGGGATGTTGACCACCCTGTGTGTTGTCGGGGGTGGGATAGTTGACCACCTGTGAGTGTGTTGTAGGGGTGAGGATAGTCTGCCATCCGTGAGTGTTGTTGTCGGGGGGTGAGGATGTCTGCCCATCCCGTGAGTGGTTTTTTGGGGGTTGAGGATAGTCTGACCATCCTGTAGTGTGTTGTCGGGGTGGGATATTTTCTGACCACCCTGTGAGTGATTGTCGGGGTGGGATAGTTGACCATCCTTGAGTAAGGGGGTTTTTAAAAATTTGGGCCAATGTTCCAACGAGACGAGCTCGGATACGGATTTTTCCCGTAATTGTACCACACTATTCCATTGTTAGTGTATTTTGTGAATATATCGATTTAAAAATTGTTAAAACCGCTGTGTTAGCTTTTTAATGTTTTCAGTAAAACCCACGAGTGTCACTCTCGTAAAAAACCCAAAAAAACTCTTAGATCCATACAAAAAGTTAAATCAGAAAAAGAGAAATTTAAACCAAAATTTTTTAAGAAACTGGGATTTAAAAAACATTTTTATTTCGCTCTCTCATGACTTCAACATGTTTTGGATAAATTTTTATGGATTCCAACCCCAAAACCCCTGCCATTGAGCCCCGGACCGGTGTTTATTGTCCCCCTTCCCCTCCTCGTCTTAAAACCAAAAAACTAGTCTTGTCTTGTTTTTTCGTTATTTAAAAGGCAGGGATGGGTGTTGGGCAGCGAGGAGAATCGTGTGTGTGCAGATCTACGTATTTGTCGTTATTATTGGGTCTTTGAGATAGAAAAATAATCAATATATAAGTATTACCCCCAGGCTGGTTTTTGATGGGCGTTTTTTTAATGTGAAATATACTTGTGTAACCCGGCGGAAACCCACCCTGGGGGGCCAAAACTTTGTGAACTTTTTTCGACAGCCTTGTGTGCATCCCCAGTGCTTGCCCATCAGGGTGGGAAGGGAGACCAACCCCGAAATAGCCCCTCTGGAATGTGGCCCCATCCTGGCTGTCTTCCCCGGGCTGTTTTTGATTTTTCGATTTGTTGAATTAAAACAGTAAATGCCTGAATGTAAAAGTAAACTTTTCCCCTTCTTTCTTCCAACATATGTATTTAAGATAGAAATACTTTTTTATTGTTCCTCTCTCTCTCTTCCTCTCTCTTTCCTCTCTGTTCTTTTCTCTTTTCTCTGTCTCTCTCTCCTTTCTGTTGTTTTCTCTCTCTCTCTCTCTCTCTCTCTCTCTCCTCTCCTCTCTCTCTTCTCTCTCTCTCCCCTCTCTTCTCTCTCTTCTCTCTTTTCCTCTCTCTCCCCCTCTTTTCACCTCTCTCCCTCTTGTGTCTAGTAACGAACTTTTAAAACCTTTCAAGCAACTTTTGAGGCAAAGAATTGTTACCTTAGCAATTTTAACTCTCTTTTGCGTCTTTGAAAAATTGACGTCAATGTTGACTCATTTAAAAAAAAAAAAGAGTGACGTCAGATACGACTATATCCAAACTGTTTAGTTTTTACTTTTTTAAATTACTGTGTTTTAAACTTCGGTCTATAATAACTAAAAAACTGTTTAACTGCTCTCCGTGTCTCACTTCCCTTGGGATCAAAACCATCACCCTCCCCCCTCTTCCCGGGGTTTTGCACCCCCCTAAGGTTTTGCGCTTGTTACTGGTTTAGAAAGGTGAGTTAAATGAAAGACACGTCCAATATTTCTTTATATTCTCTTCCGAATAATTTGGTAAAACCAGATGCGGGGGCGCTGACCCCCGGACTCTTCTCCTCCCCTTCCTTTCCTCCTTCATTTAATTATCACAAAACCAAATTATTTTTATTCCTCAAAAAAATCATTTTAAAGCGTTTACTTCGCATATTTTTTTTTGAGGGAATAAATTATTGATTATTTTAATTTTTTAATAGAGGTAAATGTGTAGTGTTGAGGTAGTAGCATGTCAGTGTGTTGTGTTGAGGTGGTGAGCATGTCAGTGTTTAGGGTTTAGGTAGAGTGAATGTCAGGGTTTTGGTGTTGAGGGGTTGAGATGTTAGTGTGTAGTGTTTTAGGGAGGTGGCATGTCAGTGTGGGGTGTTGAGGTGAGGTGGCAGTCAAGGTTAGTTTTGAGGCGAATGACATGCAGTGTGTGGTATTGAGTAGTGTGGCATGTCGTGTGTGTTTTGAGTGAGTTGACGATCAGTGGTGTTGAGGGAGGGGAGAAAATTCAGTGTGTAGGTTGGGGTGAGTGTGACAATCAGGCGTTTTTTTGAGTGGGGGTGAGCTATCAGTGTGATTGAAGTGAGTGTGAGCCTACAGGTGTATTTTTGAGGGGTGGAACAGCCGGTGGTTGGGGGGAAGTGACATGTCAGTGGCAGTGTGGGGGGAGGGTGACATGTCCGTGTGTAGGGGTAGAGGGAAGGGTGAGCATGTCAGTGTGTAGTGTTGACACGAGGATGAACATGTCAATGGTAGAAATGGAATGACATGCCTTTCCCATGGCGAGACGTCCCCCACCATTCACTGAAGGTTAAGAAGACGGCCAGAACTTGAGCTCTACACCTGAAAGTTCACACACACCATAAAACACACACACACACACACACACACACACCACACAACACACACACACAACACAACACACACACACACCACACACACACACAACACCACACACCACACACACACGAATGTTGTTACCCGAGTTTTCCACTGTTGGTAGAGCCAATTTTTTTTTAAGCAGAAACGCATCGTTAGGCAATTTTATTGTTGTACAATCCAGCGTTGGTCGAGGGTCCACAGTATTTGGGAGTCGACCTGTCACCGATGGGTTTGTGAACGATGAGGTTAACCATAAAGCTGATGAAGGAAAAAAGGTGAGTGGTGCGTTTGAGGTATCTGCGGAGACAAAAAATGTTAAACATGGAGGCAAAGAAGGTAATGTATGAAAGTATAGCGGTACCAACACTCTTATGTGGGTGTGAAGCTTGGGTTGTAAATGCTGCAGTGACGAGGCAGTTGGAGGCAGTGGAGATGTCCGGTCTAAGGGCAATATGTGGCGTAAATATTATGCATAGAATTCGGAGTTTGAAAATTAGGAGGTGTGGAGTTACTAAAAAGTATTAGTCGAGGGCTGAAAAAGGGTTGCTGAGGTGGTGTGGTCATTTAGAGAGAATGGATCAAAGTAGAATGACTTGGAGAGCATATAAATTTGTAAGGGAAGGAAGGCGGGGTAGGAGTCGTCCTCGAAAAGTTTTGCAGGGAGGGGGTAAAGGAGGTTTTGTGGGCGAGAGGCTTGAACTTCCAGCAAGCATGTGTGAACATGTTACATAGGAGTGAATGGACACAAATGGTTTTTGGGACCTGACGAGCTGTTGGAGTGTGAGCAGGGTAATAATTTTATGAAGGGATTCAGGGAAATCATTTAGCTAGACTTGAGTCATTTAAATGGACGTACAATGCCTGCACTTTAAAGGACGGGATTGGGATATTGGCACTTTGGAGGTTTTACGTTTAAACTGTCGTATTTGAGTGCCTCTGCAAAGACAGTGATTATGTATGATGGGGGTGAAAGTGTTGAATGATGATGAAAGTATTTTTGATTTGGGGATTTTCTTTCTTTTTGGGTCACCCTGCCTTTTTGGGGACGACCAACGAGTTAAAATATGCGCACACACACACACACACACACACACACACACACACACATGCACATACAACAGGCCTAGTGTCTAATCGACATGTGCCTAGGACCAAATGGTAACTAACACACACAGACACACACACATAATTCGGACATAGAAACAATTTACTAAGACCTTCCGACAGGAGGATACAACCACTGGTTACTATGTAAATGTATATAACCCTAATACCCTGTTATATGGTACTGTTCTCTTTCTATTGTCATGCTATGTCAGTGTAACACTGAGGTACTCACAGGATATACTAGTGCTAGGTCTTGGTATTTGCTATGTTTAGAAGTATTTAAAAGAATCCTTGTTAAATACCAGAAATTATCTTCCTAGGACACAGAGTTGATGTGAATTTCCACCAGATGTGACATCCACCAGACGTGACATCCACTAGACGTGACATCCCCCAGACGTGACATCCATCAGACGTGACATCCATCAAACGTGACATCTATCAGACGTGACATCCACCAGACATGACATCCACCAGACTGTTATGTACAAGGAATCCTAGGATTATTTTTTTATGCAAGAAACTAAAGTCAGAATATAATTTACAAGCTCCACTGAATTTACAAGCTCCACTGAATTTACAAGCTCCACTGAATTTCGTAGTTATGTATGTAGTTTCAGAGAGTTAAATATTAAAGCGGGTTTTTGCAATAGAAATAATCTTGTTTTCTGATTTTTATATGGAAAGTTACTGTGGGTAAATTATTGTTATATTGTGTTATGTGAAGTAAGTGAAACCTGGTGTGCGCTCCCCTGAGACTTGAAGACTGTGTCGTAACGCTGCCTGCTCGCTGAGCCTTTGGGTTACATTACGTTACGTTACGCAACGGTAGGTTACGTTACCTTACGCAAAGGTAGGTTACGTTACGTTACGCAATGGTAGGTTACGTTACGCAACGGTAGGTTACGCTACATTAGGTTTGGTTCGGTTAGATTACGTTAGGTTAGGTTAGCTTACGTTAGGTTAGGCTAGGTTAGGTTGGGTTAGCTTAGGTTAGGTTAGGCTATAAAAGTATCTTCTATA